CCCCCCCCCCCCCAAATGTTGATGCCTTAGCGACGTCCCTGAAAACACACACAAAAAAATATTACATAAAGTTTAGTTCAGCATGTGCAATCACCTGCGCATTATTTCCCTTCTCAATGTTATACACAGCTTCTCTAGCCAGAGTTATTTTCATTAAAGATTCTCCGTGACCAGTCGTGGAACATCCACCGTATTCATTTGCATAACCTCCGCAGCCAATCAATGGGGTGTCACCGATACGTCCTTGCATCTTGGCGGGTATACCCCCTAGAAATATAGCAGCAAAATTTACCAAGTATGTACAGTATGTTGGGTATGTGCGCGTGTAGCAATTGCGAATTGTATTTTATATGCGTGGTTATGTGTGTGTTGCATGCGGGTTAATACTCGATCTCCCTTATTACGTTTTCGTAGCGCTTTGCATTGTGGTTATAGTGGTATCACTGATATTCAAGATGGCTTACTTTTTGTCCTGACTCAAGAACTTTTAAAAAAAGCTATACAGGGTCAGGTGCGCGATAGCCAACAGCAAAATATTCGCGAAAACATTCAATATTTTCATTCGAGGCCGCTATCTTTATCAGTGATACCACTATAACCACAATGCAAAGCGCTACGAAAACGTAATAAGGGGGGGAATCCCGAATTGGTACTCTGTAATCGATGCCATCTTGGTTGATTTTCAAAATACAAATTAACTCTATTAATATTACAGGGTCTGAAATTTGCAGTATCCTGATATGCACAGGATGCTAAAATTTGGTTTTGGATACCAAACTGCGAATGACTTGTATTCTGACTGGATATTACAAAATTTCAAAAATTAGGATGATGCTAAACGTCTCCAGGGATCTCCCTATAGCTTGGATACTACGAGTCTGCCTTCTTGAAAACAGCCAGCCTGCTTTTGATTTCCAACTTGGTTGTCTAGTTGTTGAATGTTGAGTCTCCTGTTGTTATTGTAATTTATACCAATGAGAGACGTATACTATATACCTATACTTTCATGGTTCAGGGATGCCAAAATTTATGGTAAGCAGTATACAGTAGTAGAACTTTGAATCCTGGTATCTCAGTGGGGATCTGATAAAAATTGTAAATTTCAGACTCTGTCCATATTCTTTATTGCTGACCGTATCCAGCCATACGCCGTACGACTATGTATAATATCGTTAACTATTTGTAGAACGAGGAAATAGTAAATGAACTCAACTTCTCCACTGAAAGGTCGGAAGAACACTTTGGAATCAACCAAGATGGCGCACAATGAGACGTAATGACGTCATGTGCAAACGCACAATAATTAATCGCAAGTGAGATCTCAAGTTCATGACGTCTTCAGCCATCATTTCAAATTATGATGTCAAATTATGACGTCACAGGGACCGCAGAGAAGATTTTGCCACTGGTAAAGACAAATAAGGTTACTAAGAGCATCGTATGGTCTGATTTCCACATAGTTGTAGCTGTCCTAACCTGATGTGAACCTTTTTTGTCTTTTGTGTGCTGTAAGCAAATCAATCTCAAGTTTATTGATTGCAGAGATCATTATCTTGACCCTTTTACATCAGCGATGAATCCAATGTAATTCAACACAACAGAAACCTACGCTTATTACCTGTTGATGTAGCACATGCAATACAGCCAGTGGCATCCATAGCAACAGCACCTACAGTGTCGTGGTATTCCTCCGTAGACCTCCCCTCGATGTGTGAATGAACAGCATTATTATATTTATTGAATGCATTCCCTTTCATCTTCGCCTGCTCCGTTACAAGCTCCATTGGATCTTTTAAAATGGGGTATCCAATTTTCTTTGCAAAAGCAAGGCAGCCTTCGATGTTGAGAGCACAATGTGGTGTCTCTTCCATCACACGTCTTGCTAGCGAGACAGGGTTTGAGAATTGACTAACTGCCATAACCGCGCCTAAAATGGTTTTATTTAATATTTATTCAATTATTCAACTCCACTAGCAAGTAGTTTTAATATCATGTTTTAATGCAACAGGCTCATTTTTAAATGTAATGAGATGTAAAATTGAAAACTTTACAGGGCTCAAAATAACGGCCGTCAACGGGCAATGACCGGTGTCACAGCGGATTTGGACCCCCCAGTAGATTTGGACCCCCGGTCCAAATCTCCTAGTAGATATGGACCCCCCCCCCCCCG